TAATAAAAATATAATTATATTTTTAATTGAAAAAATAAATTCACCAAAATTTATGAATATATGCTGTTTTGTTAAAATAACTTTAACAATAATAATGAATATAAATTAAAAATTAATGAATATGATTATGTAATTATTTAAGTATTTATTATTATTAATATTGAATGGTGTACTTGATTTCACTTTATTTTCATCAATAATTTTCAATATGTTTATTAAACACATTTTATAATTTTTTTTAATTAGTATGATTTTATTGACTAAATATATTCCTTAACTAATTTTTAGTTATTTATTTACTGATTTTAAATATTTAAAATTTACAACTTTTAGTTATTTATTTAATTATTTTAAAAGTTAAATACTTAAATTATACTTTTATTTATTTATTTGTAGATGAATTGTTTTAATTAAAAAATTGTTTTTGATTATTATATATTATTGATTTTATCTTTTAATAAATATGATTTTCATTTTATTTTAAGATATATAAAATGTTTACATCTTGAAATACTTTCAGTTAAGTTAAAGTTATGGACAACTAATATATAAGTTAAATATCGTGATACATTTGTATATTAATTACTGCGTGGAACAAAAATAAATTACTTAACATAAAAATATTCAACATCAATAGTAAAAACTATTATGTTGAATTTTTGAAGTATATCATTTAACTAATAAAATAAATACTAAGGATAAGATGATCATCAAAATAAAAAATGCAATATAATAAAAATTAAGAAAAGAAATAAATACAAAAATAGCTTTCATGTTAAATATATGTTAATATTTTTTTATGTTAAATATTTGTAACTAGATTTTATAATATTATGAATATATCAATTTTACGCTATCATACATAAACTATAAGATTTAGATATTGATTTTATATAATTTTTTTATGGTTAATATAATATAGTGTTGTGTTCACTTAAAGCAAATTACTCTAAAGAGACATTTGATGAAATGAATTAACAAGTATATCTTCTATTCCTATTCAAGGATTTAAAAGCAAGTGAGAGAGTAAGATATTACCATTTAAGGCACTCTCTTTCATGGAAAGAGAGTTGAGTTATTCATGCATTTTTAAAAAATATCCCTAGCTTAACATCACTATTTTTACGTGATGCTTGAGTATGTATACTAGTATGGTGTTGTTCATGTTGAAGCCTTTGTTCTTGGAATGTGTATATGAGAGTGTGACATTATTCATGTTAAAATCGTTTTAGGTGAGTAGTAAAATGGTATATGAGATTAGGGATACCTGTTACATAGTTCATGTTGGGCCAAGATGTCTTCGAAGCTGGTCGCATGAGAGAAGGGTTGTGCACCTTGAATGGCCAAAAGGTGGGACGATGGTGGTGGACTGCGAGATATGTGACAATATGCGAAGGAATGCAGGGTTGTGTTGAAAGGAAAATTGGTTCATGGGTGTGATGGAATTGGTTCTTTGATATTGAAAAACATAAGATTCAGTTACTTAACTGATTTTGTGAAGTTTGTGTGTGGGAATCAGTTCTCTTATCATTGAAATCAATTCAATGATTTTGGAATTGTTTTAACATGGTTGTTTTGTGTTGCATGCAACTGTTCTTTATTTGCCTTGCTGTGAATTATGTTGTTGTGCTGTGAGAGCACCTGTTGGAGGTGTCATGGTGTTGTCATTGTGGATGTGTGTTGTTATGGATAATGTATTATGATGAATAAAAAAGAAAAGGTTAAAACTTCATAAAATAGTTTTGTAAAGGAGATTGTTTGAAAATTATTTTTATATATAATATTGTACATGTATAGGTTGAGGACATCTCGACCTATAGAAGGATGTAGACACTTCGGTTTGCTCTAAATGTGGGACACACGTGCACCAATACTGCAGTATGGATTCACATAAGTAAAAAGGACAAATCATAGAAGAATTAAAGATGACTAAATGCATTAGGAAACCTTAAGACAAGGTAACCCTCAAAGTACTATAAATGGTCAATGTTCATGAGAAAAGTAGGCATAATCATTTGTTATGACCTTGTTTTTTTATGATTAGTTACTAATTTGAGCATTAAAATATCTTTGTAGACTCTTTAACCAAAGTCACTCACCGCTTATCGAAAGAGAGCATCAAGATACTTACAATGAAAAAATAACTTATTATCTGAAGAAGAAAAAAAGGATTGAACATTAAAGCTACCTAATATATCTCGAATTAGACAAAAAACTCGTGTAGTTCTAGATACATCTCAACTCAACAAAAACAAATATATAATGATTTATAATTGTTGTATATAGAATTTAAATTATCTCTTATAATTTTAGAGAATGATAAACATTATTAATAGAAGTTTTTTAGATGAAAAAAAGAGAATAAATGTTAACATATTAAAACTTTTTTAACAATAGTGTATGTAACTTATTTTAGAAAATGGTATGAAAAGTACCAAAGTAGAAAGTATTTTAAGATTGATAAAAACATCAAATTAACGTTTATTTTTGTAAAACAGCCAGATATTTATTTGAACTAATGTGTGATTTATTCAAAGCACATATTAAATTTTAAGTCATATGTAAAATGAAAACACAAAAAGGATAATGACATATAATTAAGTATTATTGTATACTTAAAGAAATAATTAAGTTTTAATCTAGATTGGTAAGTGTAATTAACTGATAATAACGTTATCTTTATGTTATCAAACATAATTAAACTTAAATGTTGACTATTATGTATAGTTTTATTTTAATTTAAAGTTAAGTTAAATTAGATAAATTTTCAAACAATAATCGTAAACATAGTTGAAATATTTCGTATAAATTGAAAAGGCTTAATATATCATTTTGTCCTTGATTTGGGGCGATGGGTTCAAAGTGGTTCTACCTTTTTCGAAAGTTCATTGTTGTCCCATATTTTGTAAAAAATGATTCAAGTTACGACGTTAAAAACACTAACGACGTAATGATGTGGCAATTGTGATCTATCAAATTTTTTATTACGTGACAAACCCAATTGATGTGCAATGTTCATGCGAGAGAGCCTTCATGATTCTGCACTCTGACTCGCGGCAACCCATGGTGGCATAACGTGTTTGATCAGCGATGAACGAAGAAGAAGCTCTCGTTCTGGGCTTTTGCTCTTTGTAAAGAAGACGAAGATGGAGGACGCATAAAAAGGCTTCTTGGACGATGCATGAAGGCACATTGTTTCTACGTTTCTGGCTTGCAATTTGCAGGTTGGTGCCCATGGATGTTGCTTACGAACTAGGATTTCTATGATTTGGGTAGCGATTATATATGTTTATGCTTTGTTGTAGATGTGAATTGGGGTTTTAGGTGTTGCGATTGTGATTTTCTTGTTCATGTTTGGGTTGGAATTTCTGGTTTTGCAAGTTAAGGATTTTGATTCGGTTCTTGCTTGATGTGGGTGCTTTGAATTGTAGGTATGTGTTGATGGTAGTGACGGCAGCATGGTGGCACGTTTCGTTCTGTGACAGCAACTAGGGTTTCACAGTGGTAGCACAAGAGTTTTTGTCCTTAGGAAAATTAGGGTTTCACGGTGTTCTCCTTTCCTTTTACATTAACATTGCCACATCAATTGGGTCATGGTTGTCACATAATAAAAAAATTGGACAGGCCACAGTTGCCACATCATCACGCCATTAATGTTTTTAACACCGTAATCCAAAAAGACTAAATTGAACCGTTTTTTAAGAAATATGGAAGAATAGTGTGAACTTTCGAAAAAGGTAGGACCACTTTATCGACCTAGTATTTTTTAAAGAATATTTACTTAATTCTTTTATTTATATTAAATTTTAGAAAAATATTTCAGTTTCAAAAACATCTTTTATTTTTAAAAATTAGTTATTATTTAAATTTAGAAAATCAAAATAAACATGGTAAATATTTAATATTTGATATTATGTTATATTTTGCTCTTATATATAGAATACATCAATAAAATGAAATAAAAATTCATTTATATAAGATATCTCTTATATCTTTTATATATTTCATATTTTCAGAATCCTTATAAATAAATTTCTAACAGTGGTATTTATATAGAGTCATTGCTTTTATCGGAGACTGCATAATTGAAGGAAATTTCTCAAAGTTATTATTGCATTATTTGATAGTGAAAACTATGATTTATAAGCGATAAAAATGTAAATTTATCTAAAGAAGCTAAATTTATAAAAAGTCGTGAAAAAAATAATATCTATCGCCTAAAAATCTGACTCAAATAAAAATATATATTATTATGATATTTATGAATGATCCTAAAAGTTCCAAAAAATTTTGAGATTATTTAAAAAGAGAATAGGAAGAAAACAAATTTGATGCATGGAAATTTTAATCTTATTAAGAATTTGAAATACAAAGTTTGAAACAATTAAAATATATTCAAATAAATTATTGAGTATTGGTAACCAAATAAAATCGGGAAAAAGAGTTTTCATATTTCACACTCTTGAAAAAAACTCTGATAAAGATATGAAAAAAAAAAACCAGAAACCCAACATTTTCTTCAATTATTTTTATGTCAAGATAGGAATTATTTTTACTATAAATAATTGATGTTTAGAAGGTAAGAAAAAGGTCAAGACAGTGTTTTTTTGACGAATGATTAAAACAAAAGATGCCAATTTTTGTAAATGCGTATTTAAATAGGTTTAAGCCCAAACTGTCAGCCCAAAACTAAGCCCAAATCCATCAATTGGAGCAGGTTCGTTTTATTACCAACCCCATTTATCGATATCGTATTCTCCCACTCCAACGTGAATAAATAAATAAATAAAATACTATTAGAAAATAATTAAATTATAATTATGTTATTTAATTTATTTTTTTTACACAATTATTGAGAAAAGAGGGAAGGAGAGTCTATGGGTGTGGGTCCCTCCAAAACTGTGATCAATCACCAAACCCTTTTCTTCTCATCCGACGGCTCTGATTCTCTCTAGTTTTGCCATCACTTCAGAAGAAGGATAAATACACAAACCCACACAACAACAATGGCCATTACACAAGAGAACGCCAGAAGAAGAGAGAAGAGGAGAATAACCCTCAAACCCCATTTCAACTTCCTCAGAGAGAGACTGTTTCAGACGCCACTTCTTCCTCATACAGATACAGAGGTGCAAAGGAAAATTAAAGCTTGCAAATTTATCAATACAGAAGAAGATCTGTGATTTTTTCCTCTTTTTGTTGTTGTTTGCTGAAGAAAACACATACCCTTAATCTCTCAGCGTCAATTTGTATCATTGTGAGTTCTTTTTTTCTTGTTGTTCTCATTCAAGGCTGTTTTTTCTTCTCTTCACATGCTCCTTGTTCTGACCCTTTCCTTGGTTTCATCTGCCAGAATATCTGTTTGCAGAGGATTGTTTCTTCAGAGACGCAGATCTTGAGGTTGGAGGCAATCCTTCACGGTTTGGTATTCCACCCCTCGTCTGAATCTCGTTTTTTACAATCCACCACACTCCACACACGCCCTTTAACCAGAATTGGGTTTTTGTTTCCCCATTTGCCACTTTTTCCCCCTTTTTTCTGTATGGTGAAAAACTGAAGCTTGATGAGCGGTTTTGTTGTTCTGTGTGGTGTAGGTATGGAGACCGAAGAGAGGAACCAGAAAGGGTGCAAGGGTTCGGAGCCAGAGTTTTTCTTGCAGTGGGGGCACAGGAAGCGGCTGAGATGTGTGAGGGTGAAGGACCCTCGGATTTCAACGAGGCTCAACGGTGGAATCAGAAGGAAACTTGGTTCTACACTGGATCATCGTTCTGGGGTCTCTGGGGTCACTGTGGCCGAGAAAGAAACCTCTCATAATCATCATCAACAACCCAATCGCCTCACGAGGTGCTTACAATACCAACATCGACTAAAGATTGTCTTCAAATTTTCTCCTACCTTTCTTTTTGGCTCTGGTTGGGTTTCCCAGAGAAGATATGATTTTTGTTCATTGAATGTAATGATGCTGTTTCTCCTCAAGTTAGGCAGAGGAAGAGCACAACATCAAGGAGAAACTTCCCTTTCCATTTTCGTTTTTTTTTTTCACTTTCCTCTCGTTTTGTTTGGTTTTCAGAAAAAAAGCGGTTTTTGGTGGAATGGAATGTGTTGGTGTTTTTCGTTTTGGGTTGCTAGGAATTCTCAGTGGATGATGAGAAGCAGCAACAAAGGGAAAAAAATCGTATTTTTTTTTTCATATATGGTAACTTTACCGCCAGTACAAGTTTTTGATGTGAAAAATCAAGTTTTTTTACCATCCCCGGATGAGATAAGCGTGTAATTTATGGGTGTAACCGTTTTTAATTTGTTTTTGTTTTATCAGAATGATATTACATTGGATCTGTTAGCTCGGCGATAATGTATGAAATTTCCCTATTTTGTCCATTTTTTTTCGTGAATTTTGACCTAAAATTTGGTTGCAGGAATTCCGATGGGGCGATTCTCCGGTCTTTGGTCGGCGAGACCAGGAAATCAGCGTCGCCTGAGAAGGAGGACCGGTACTACACGACAAGGGGTTCGGCGGAGGAGAGCGGAAAAGTAGCCGGCGACGGTAACAACGGCGAGGAACGAGCCCTAGTGTGGCCGAAGCTTTACATCACTCTTTCAAGCAAGGAGAAAGAGGAAGATTTTCTGGCCATGAAGGGTTGCAAGCTTCCTCAGCGACCCAAAAAGAGGGCGAAACTCATCCAAAGAAGCTTACTTGTAAGTTTTTCTCTCTGACGAAGAAAAAGGGAAATTTTAATTTTTGTATTTTGTGGGAAAAAAAGGGGAAATTGTGGTGGGTATTTTGGTTGGGTGATCTTCATTCTCACCACCTTATCCTGTGTTTCTTACTGCTGGTGTTGTGTTACAGTTGGTGAGCCCTGGTGCGTGGTTGACTGATATGTGCCAAGAGAGATATGAAGTGAGGGAGAAGAAAAGTAACAAGAAGGTAAGTGGTTGGTGGCTGTGCCATTTTGTGTTGTGGGGTTCTTACTTTTTCCCCTATTTTTTGTGACTGGATCTGAATTCTGAAACTTGTTCATGTTCTCTCTTTTGATGCAGAGACCAAGAGGGTTGAAGGCCATGGGAAGCATGGAGAGTGATTCTGAATGATGGTGAAAGAACTAGAGGGGGAAGGAAGAAAAAAAAAGCCCTTTTAAGCTCTGAATGTTTTGGAGATGATGTTTCCATTGAAGAAGATGAAGATGATGATTCAAGTTTTTTTATATTTGTGTGGCATGTATGTTGCCCCCTTCTCATGTTTTTCTTTTTGTAAACGAGTAAGATCCGATCCGATCCATTTCAATTAATTAAGAAAATTATTTTTCTCACCTTCTATCTTTCTTCATCTCTCTCTCCTTGATCCGAATCTTCTGATGTCTGCACTCCTTAAGCAACCCTCTTCATAGTGTTTTTTTTCTCGTGCTTTTGTGAGAAACATTGATGAAAGTGGTTAGCTGGGAGTTTGGATGATCTTGTGGCAAAGCCGTTTATGATTTATGCATACGATGGTGTGCCCCCACAGTTTTTGAGTTTGCCGACATAACACTGGGATGATGTACCTTGGGATGTTGTTGTGAATGATTTAGTTTTTGACCGTGAGAACCTCGATAGTTATAAAAAGATAGATAGGATAACTAATAAGGAAAGGAAATACTTGAAGGATTTTAAGCCTTAGGCATATCCATCATTGGGCATGGTAGCATGATGCCAAATTAAGCATCATCTACTTGTAACAGTGTACCACCACGGTATCTCACTCATTCTGTTGTGCCTATCTAAACACCACTGCAAATGTTCATTTTCATCATTTATAATTTGGATACTCTTCAATCTCATTTCAATACACAAAATCTCATAGGGTCTATTGCTGAACGTGCTCAAGCCTATGTATGAAGTGGGTGTGTCACCGAAATATCCATGATTCCTCAAATAAAAAAATAACCTCTTGTCTTGTGGGATTCACAACATTTGCGAGTGAGGTAGTTGTAACACGTGAAACATTTTATTTACACTTTCTACTATTTCTCTGATGAATTAGCAAAAAAAGAATAAGAAACAAAGGGTGCCAGAAATTGATCGATGAAAGAAAGAAAGAAACAAAGGGCAGCAAATATTTTCCCTTTTGGTCTTTGGTCGGCTTTTGTTTTCAGCTACAATGGGACAAGAAATCTGTCTCTAAGTTCTTCCCTAGATATGAAACTTGATAAATTGTAGGCTATCTCTTGTCACTTGCCATGAAAATTGACCTTTTGTCATTGAAAAGAAAATAGTAAGAGTAAAACACTTGATAAAATATCATATGAATATCAAATTTTGACTTGTTAACACCGAAGACAGCTTGCAAAAACGCGCATCTTTGCAGCTTTGAAGGCACCATTTTCCATTTGGTTGCTTTTAAAAGAGTCGCTGTGTAAAAAGGACTTTGTTTCAACTCATTGTGCTTTCGTCGTGCGCACTTCTCAAATATCTCTCCGGTTCAACTTATTTATAGAACAATTTAATTATCTTTAATCATAAAATAATATTTAAGTGTATTTACTTTATCAAATCATTTTACTTTAAAATGTTTAAACATCGCATTCCATTAACGTCTTATCATTTTATCGAAAGATCATTTGGTAGAGTCTATGATTTTAAAACTGTTTCCTTTAAACAAAACATCAAATAATTGTTATATGCAGTGGTTTTTTTTCTTCAAACAATGATATATATTGTCTGAAAGGACGAGACTTAAATTAACTGTTGTGTTTGAATTACATTCGTGAACACATAACATATATTTTAAAACTACAAAATTCATTAATAGTATGTTCAATTACTGTTTTCACATTTGTAACAGATTTTCACACTTGTAACAGACGTTCAGACTTTCTAAGAGATTTGTATAAACATGTTATGTATTTTGTAAGTTCATACCAGGAAAACGGTTTTCCAAACACCAGTTCTTTAAATCAGACAGATTCCTCTTGGGCCTTGATTGAGCTGATTATATTACAACACATAATTGATTATATCATCAATACTTTATTATTATATATATATGTTTTTTTTTTTCAATTTCTAATCATTTTCACTCTTTTTCTCATAATTCAGACAATCTTACCTTTCATTGCTTTTTTCTTTTCTTCTTTTTCTTGTCCAGTTCAAACAAAACATTAATAAATTATAACAAGTTGTAGAATCCATTAGGTGTAACCACTCAAACTTCCAACAGTACTTTCTCTACAAGCAACATCAGTAGCTACGTCTAAAAAGAGGGCTAAGTCCCTGGCCGTTTAGCAAACTTGATAGACATCACATTCTCTCAGCAAGAGCCACTGTGTTCCCATTATGTCAATGAACATAAATCATCACAGCAGACAAACAGATGTGACTTCACCGTACTTTCTCTCATAACACAAATGTAGTTAGTTATTTTAAGTGTTCATTTCCTTTGAACTTGTGATTAGATCAAGGTACGTGCTCACAAATTCAAAGAAAGTTTGGGTGATGGCACAACATCTAGCTCACAATTTTCTGACGCATGTACCAAAAAGTAAATAATTACTCTTTCTCAAAAGGGTTTATTCATAACAATAGTACATCTGGAAGAAATTCATATAAAATCACTTATGTATATCAAAGGGTTTGTTTCTATGAGAAACATCACACAATCTGAATTTTGAAGTGCTTTTCCTCATGAAAATAACAAATAGTGTATATACAAGAAATAAAGAAAGTCAACCATTTGCTTTGAAGTCTTCTTTTTTGGAAATTATAAAGGCATTTCCTTTTTCGATGTGTATAATTTTCTTCTTTCCAAGAAGGATGTCTGGCAAGTGCTGCAGCATTTCAAACAGAAAGGGATGAGAACAGAAAGCACCTTTCATAATACCCCATCTTTTAAGAGTCTTCTTCACTACTTTTTTTACATTTTGCAGGCTTTGTTATAGTTCAATTCATACCAGAAAACGTTTCTCTGTCCACAAAACCAGGCAACTCAATTACGGATACCAAAGGCATGAATTGTAAGTTGGTAAGTAGCAGACATAAAATTTAGCAGTAAGTATGCAAGTATTTATCTGGCATAAGGATATCTAGTAGCAAGGCATGGTGAACTAATCTAGAAGGGTGAAGCACAGATTGAATTGAAGGATTAGATGAATTTTGGATGAGCACCTCTTCATTGATCTGTGGAGTTATCATTCAGCCTTAGGCCCGGCAGCTTGAAGCATTTCAACAATGAGAGTCTTCACATCCCTAAAAGAACAATACAGGAATCATTTCTCTGCAGAAAACAAAATCAACGTGCAGCAGGAAAGGGTTTTTTTTTTCCTGATTTCTTATCAGAAACCCTATCGGCATGATTAATACCATCCAAAAGGATGATAATAGTTAGAAAAGTAGAATTTGTCTGATTGAAAGCAGCAAGTTTAATTGAATAAATCAACAACAGTAAAGCCTAGGCTAACACAGTAATTCTCCCATTTTCATCAAAGTTCAGATGAGCATAGAATTGCATTAGTAAACTAGAAAACAGATGAGCATATTTGATCTCATGAAGGCAGACATGTCACATGTCATTTTATGCAGGAGATGGGAGTTCATATCAAATAACATGTCTCACTTTCTATCTTCTGCACGTCGAGGGAAAGGTACACGAAGTTTGAAAGTATCACCCTGATAACCAGCCTGCAAAAAGGTCAACTCTTCTAATAAATAAGGTACACATTCAAACTCGAACAAAATTAAAACACAGTTGATGAGGATAAAAGATTATTATTGAAAGGACCAACTTAAAGAAGATTACATTTCTCAAATTTATAAGTGAAATCTAAATTATTTTATGTCAATGAATCACAAATGAAGGCAGTACCTTAACATTGAAACCAAGACTATCCAAATCTAGAAGGTATGCAAAGTCCACCTGCAGATGATGATGATGATCAACTCAGTTAAATTAAGGCTGAACATAATCAGGCCCTCCCTACCCCTGACCAGGAGCAAGGATTTGGGTCTGTCCGTATATTGTTTACAGAGCATATTGTTTCATGTTATAGACCATAGATTCTTATGCCTGACCATATGGAACAAAAGTAATTTTACACGATAATAGCAATTGAACAAAAGAGCCTCTTTTATTATCTACGTTGTATACTATGGAATGGTCAAGATGTCATACTGGAACTGAGGTCCAATGCTGCACAATCACTTTGTTATCGTCAGCATGATCTTTGTTCATATGAGACTGTTAAAAGCACAACTTATATTAGAACAAAAAATGACTGACTTCTGAAAGTCACTGCAGATGTGTGACATGATGATCAGTCAGAGATCAGTACCGCCACTGGCTTGGAAAATTGAGCTATGGGGTCAACTTTTGCAGATTTATACTCATCTCCAGTAAACTCTGAAAATCAAATAAAAAAAAAAACATGACATAAGGATAATATAGAAAACGCATGAAATTCAATTATGGTCCAGAGAAAGCACTCAATTTTGATGCCATTGACATTATGATCAACAACAGTTATGTATATATTAAAGAAACAAAATTGACCACAAAATGCAAACCAGTACATTTTCCATTTGAAGAAACCTACTAGAAAGACATGTTTTGTGTCATCCCATATGATGCAAAGAATGCATCATCATCTAGAGAGAGAGAAAATTTATCCTAGAAAAAGTCTCTAAAGTGAGAAAATAAGGATGAAACCACTCTTAATATCAGTAGGGTAAGATCAAAAAACAATTTAAGATAAACAATGAATATTACTCATTTTAGAGATCATGTTAGAAGAGCTTTCTCCCAACATCATGATTTCCAAACACCCATAAATCTAACAATTAAAGATCATCTTATTGCCTGCCAACTACTCTTACCTTCGAGGCTCCAACCGCAATGAATAATCATTCAACTATTCCCTCTTCTACCCTATCCTCCTGCATAAACTAACTCCCTTCCCATAACACTAACTGCCCAGCATATCTAATATAATTAACCTCCATTATTCTGACAACTAACTATTATGTATTATTCTAATAAACTGCTTTCAACTTTACTAAGATGGCAAGCATTTTGCACAATTATCTTCCACTATATCCTTTAGTTTTAAGAAAATTAAATAGTTAAAAGTTTACTTATATGAAAACTTAATTCGCCCTTCCCTTCCCATCCAAACTAATTCATAGCATTAACAGCAAATGAAACCAACAAGAATGACATAGTTAACAAACCTCCTGATCCTAACAAAGCTGTGGCAACACCTGACACAAATCGTACAACTTTCGGTTCAATGCGCAAGAATTTGAAGTCTCCAAAGTCAACCTTCAATGTTGGAAGGTTTTAGAGTT